GGTTTTACAGGCTGAAAAACATTCTATTGGAAGGAAAGATCAAATTACATGGTAATAGGCTTTCAAATTTCATGGCTACTGTATGAAGCCCTACCACAAACAGTTACCTCTCATTTGAGTTCAATAGGACTTCAGAATGGCAGAATTATACCAAGATTTAGATTAGTTAAAAGTCAAGAATGGGAAAGGAATACTATCATTCCCATAACTCTACTGATAGTACATGGACATAAACGGAAGCATGTTCTGGAGACAAAAACCAATGTCAGTGGCTGTTGTGACAGCAACAGACCTTGGCATTCCCCCATCTTTCTCTAGAGATGTTACTTTCCTCCTCTTCCCCTTAGCTACTGGCACAAGTGCCTGGTTAGTATGACAAGTTAAGATGTATAACAGCTGGTTATGGACGGACACAAATTGCAGAGCATAGCGCAGCAGCATAAAGATGTGAAAGAGGCATTGTAGAGCTCGCCACCTAGTCGCTCAGCCTGTAAGAGGTATTGATCATGGGTTGCAGAGCAGGAAAATAATGATGCAAGAGCTCTAGGTTTAATATCAGATGTAATTATCCCAGAGAATATATGGGTGATTGTACAGCAAAGCCATTTCTCTTTGCCTCCTTCCCAGCACAGATTGCTCTAATGGAAATATTATTTATTAGGTAGTTTCACCTATTCTGGACTTAGCATACTTTCCCCATTGGGCTTTCTGAAGGGAAAACTGCCTTTTGCTATGTCCTTCACAGAATCTCCTGCCCCTTCTACAGAAGAATCAGTTACAAAGTGAGACTCTTGCATATGTGGAAGTTTAATCACATTGTCCCCCCTAAGAATATCTGGGGTGGACTTGTTTGAAGGGAGTTGGAAGATAAAGGACTAGGGAGCCATCCATACATTTGTAAATTCAGCCACACAACGTTGGCCTCTCCTTGTCATGTGATGTGTGTGCCATCAGCCCCCTCCCCCCCCAAAAATGGGGGCACAACTCAGTATCTGTGATCAGGAACACGTTCTGGATATGGCCCTGGAAGTGCAGCTTTTCTTCAAAAATAACTCTGGTCAGTTTAATCACATTTTAAAAAAGAAAAGGCAGCACGAATACTGAAATTTGCAGTTTGACCCATAGCAGAATCATATAAGCAGGAAGTGCAACTTTCATGTGCTTGGCTCACTAACCGTCCTACTTTAGTATTTTTTATAATATGAGAATACACCCTATTTTATAGAAATGATGAGTAATAACTGCAATTTAAACGCACACACATACAGAGAGAGGGAGAGGAAGAGAGAGATAACTCAAATTCAACCAAAATTAAAACCCAAGTCTACCCACTGAAAGAATGTTGTATTCACATTGAAAAGAAGCCTGTCATTTTAAAATTTATATAAATTTTAACCCTTAATCACCTGTCTGTATTCCTCAGCTGCAACCCATTGTTACCTGCTACCCATTGCTGCAACATTTATGGGGCCCCCCACTTTTTTTTTTGCTGAGGCTTATAATGCCATTAATCTATTATTTACACCACCTAACATCTTTTATAAACCAGAGAGCAAACTGAATGGACAGCTTCTATTATTTTCCTTTGCCTGGAAGGCAAAACTCTCACTTTCCTTAGTGAAATGTTACTTCCGTTGATTTATAGCTTTGCAGATCTTTCTGTGTGTGATTGCTGAATTTGCCGTCCAACAGGGACTAGGTAATCTGTGTCTCTTGGCAAGGGCTATTCATCTTACACGCTTCAATCCCCCTGTTACATTATTCTTATGTTTATGAACTACAGTAACAGTGATCACTGTAGCTGAACATGACACTGAGATTGGGGTTTCTTCTCCATAGACGACAGGAAACCAGCTTTGGGGGGGGGGGTGGAATCTTAGGCAATCAGGAGAGAAAGGGCCTAATTCTAGGATACAAATGTTTTGCAAAGTGGAGAGGAATTGCCATTTCTGGGACAGATGTAAGCCTTCAGGTTAGATTTATCTGACTCTTGTAACATGGGCTTCACCAGAGCAGTCCAGTAGATTTACAGGTAAAAAATATGACTTGTTACCAGGTGAGGTGTGGCAAATATGGGTGCATAAAGTTAATTACTGAAGGCTGCTTCTACTCAGAGATGTTATTCATGTAGGAAGGACATGTGTAGTAAAATGTGTGCATGGTTGTTAGGTGGAATAAGACTTTGCTACTGAGTCCATTGGAGAGTACACATATTCTTTCATTTTGGTGTGAACTCTCAGAGACGCAGGGTAAGCAGGAGGCTGCAGTGCAATAAATCAATATTTATACACAACAACACAAAGCAGCTTGGTTAGAAATTGGCCCTTTCAGCATGAAGCCCACTTCATGCCAACCACATATTTTTTGGGGATCCAAAGTCAGAGTTTTATTTAGACACTGATATTAAAGTCCAAGATGACCATTTGCACCTTGAGAAATGTCAAATGTATTTAGTGATAACTCTGGAATTATATACTCAGTTCTGACCAACATAAAATACAATTCTTCTGGTAAATGAGCCACAATAGCCACCAGAGGGCTGTCAAAATTTGTGTCTCAGGCTTTTTAGACTTGTCTACCCATATAATAAGGACGTGGGTGGTGCTGTGGGTTAAACCACAGAGCCTAGGACTTGCCCATCAGAAGGTCAGCGGTTTGAATCCCCGTGACGGGGTGAGCTCCCATTGTTCGGTCCCTGCTCCTGCCAACCTAGCAGTTTGAAAGGACATCAAAGTGCAAGTAGATAAATAGGTACCGCTCCAGCAGGAAGGTAAACGGCGTTTCCGTGCGCTGCTCTGGTTCGCCCGAAGCGGCTTAGTCATGCTGGCCCCATGACCCAGAAGCTGTACACCGGCTCCCTCAGCCAATAAAGCAAGATGAGCACCGCAACCCCAGAGTCAGTCACAACTGGACCTAATGGTCAGGGGTCCCTTTACCTTTACCTTTACCCATATACTATCTGAAACCAAAGGGGCGCATTAGTTGCTAGATGTAAATTTCTTTTTCAGCTCTCCTGCCCCACTATGATGGGTGTCAGTGGCTTTGATTCGGTACAGACATCAGATATGTCTGAAATTTGAATCCAGTATCTCTTTTGCAGTTGGCATGACAAGGAGGAGCAAGTCGTTTTGGGTTTGGAAGCATCAAAGTTATCAAGCTTCAACTTCTCTTTTCTTCTAAATGTTTGTGGCACTTCAAATCAGTGTCTCCGTTTATTATTAGACCATTGCGGAAATGTATCATCTGGATATGAAATACCAATTTTTGGTAAGTGAATGAGACAAATTGAATCAAACTGGAAAGAGAGCAGAAAAAAAGTATAGAGGCTTTGCGAAGGGGAGTCTGCAGAGAGAGATAAAGATGAGTAGGCATATTGAATTTGGAGAAGAGCAACTAGACCTGTCTACAGGTACATAAATGAAAATTATAAAGAGGAGAGGGACTAGTTATTCATTTTGAGTCAGCAAGGACAGGACAAGAACAAATGGACTTAGGATGCACTAGGGGAAATCTATTTAACATTAGCAAATAATTTCATGGCTATAAAAATGATTAGGATGGTGGATGGCACTTTGAAGAAAAGGTGTGACATTTACATTACTTGTACTGCTCATTCTACATACCTCAGCTGGCTCAAGGAAAAGGAAAGCGAAAAGTTCTTCTCTGAAGATGTAAAATGAGTCCTGGAGACCCTAAATTGGAATCCATTACAGTTTAAGGTCTTGTTCCTGCAAGTACTCCTTTAAAAAAGAAAGAAAAGAAAAACACTTCTGGAAAACCAAGGACAACCTCTTCTTAATGAGAGTTTGGTAGAGAAAATTGTAGAATGTCAAGTTTTTCTCTCCAACCATGATGGCTGGAAACATATTCTTTAAGACAAGGGACCCCAATACCAGTGTGTCCTCCAGTACATCCTCTGGCATCTGTGGAAGTTTTCAGTAAACATTCCCTCAAAAATACACAATACAATAATCTGTTATCTCTTTCTACACAGCTTTTGTGTGATGGGCTCAGCCTCTTCTACTCTGAATGTGTCTCCCAACAACACCCACATTTCACTGGATGCCAACATTGAACACAACTCTCAGTTGTTCTGAACTGAAGAAAAGCACAAAGAGTGTAGCAGTGGTGTTTTTTCACTGAGGGGGCAGCTGATGAGAGGACACCCCCACACCATTTTGTAGCCCTGCCTCTTTCTCTGCCTTTTTAGATGTGGCTGCCATTATGCCACACCCTTCCAGCAGCCATTTTGTGACTGCCACACAGACACTTTCTCAGACTTCCAAATGTGTCCACTGGCCTTCCAAGGTTGGTGATCCTTGCTAAGAAAGACAGAAAGATGACCAGGACTGATATTGGGTAGGCATCATCAGGCACGTACAGTGGTACCTCAGGTTAAGAACTTTATTCTTTCTAGACGTCCGTTCTTAACCTGAAACTGTTCTTAACCTGAAGCACTACTTTAGCTAATGGGGCCTCCCGCTGCCGCCATGCCGCCGGCACGCGATTTCTGTTCTCATCCTGAAGCAAAGTTCTTAACCCGAGGTACTATTTCTGGGTTAGCGGAGTCTGTACCCTGAAGTGTCTGTAACCTGAAGCATATGTAACCCGAGGTACCACTGTACTGAGGCTGTACTCCTCCAGGAGGCCCACTACCACTCCTGGGCTTTGTATTTAATCAAATGTTTTGTATATCAATGGTCTAAGCCAGTATATTGGATGATGTGTTATTCACATGTTCTCTTTTGGATCATATATGCAAGATATTTGACAATTTTAATAGTTGTATTATTATTATTGTTGTTGTTGTTGTTATTATAGCGGTGATGAGAGTGCATAGATAGAGGAGCACCCCCCATTTCCCTTGCACTCTCCCTCTGGATGGTTGTGCAAATTGAGTCTGGAAGAAGAGAGCGATGAGTGGGCAATGGTGCATTGGAGAAGCCCCTTGTTCATGCCCCACCCCAAACTTTGTAGCCCGCTCTAGATAAAACCTTTATGGAGTTGTGGCTCAGGTGGTTAGATCATGGTGCTGATAATGCCAATGTCATGGGTTTGATCCCTGTATAGACCAATTGCATATTTGTGCACTGGAGCCCTTCAAACGCTACAGTTCTTTGATTCTATGATTCTCCAAGCATCCCACGAAAAATGGATTTAAAACTGGAATTAAGTAAAGGATGACATAACAATGGAATACGACAAAGGCAGGAGGAAAAATAAGCACTAGGTATTCGTTTGATAAGCAGGCAGGTTGCTAAATAACCCAGAGGCCCAGGCAAAATTATTGTTTAATTCTGTGAAATGGCTGGCTGATCTAACCCCAATCTAATTAGGGGATAGAGCGGACAACACTTCATTATATAATCTAACTAGACATCCCAAGATAACATGCCACTCTGAATGCATTACCTCTGCTTTTGCCTGGCATTTTAGAGACCTTGCAGGCGTCTTTTAGTTGCAGTCATTTGAATCTTAACCTTCTTTGTTTGCACTGCAATCTTTTTTTTGGCCTCAAGTCTCAAATCATTTTTCTCAACTCACCTATTGAAATGCCCTTTCGGTTTGTGTGGTGTGATTGTTCTGCTATTTTCCCCTCATCTTCCTTCCAATTGAGGACCACAGTGTTGTTCTGAGGCCAGGAATTAGTTACCTGTCACAGGCGCCAGAGAGGGTGGGAGGGAGCGAGAGAGCTGGCTAAGTGGTCTTTGTCAGTTTTCTGCCAAAGGGCAATTTTACACTGAATTCTCATTTAAAATTCATTTTTTACTTATGAAATTCTAAGCGGCTTATCTGATTGTTCTGCCTAAATGGAGTATCTGAATAGAGCACATAATGCTAGGGAAGGGTGACACAAGACCTAATGAAATAAGGGAGATAGACTTTGATTGCACTATGGAAGGATGGTACAGTGCAGGGAGCAGCCATATTTCCCCCTCCTCCCTGTGCAACTTTGGAAAGCAATTTTTATGACACTCTTCACACTATTCAGATCTTAATTTTGAAGAACCAGTGCAATCTCTTTCAAAGATAAGCTTGAACACAGATTTGTCTTTCTTTTCTGAAGTCTCTAGCCAACTGAATGGATCATCATTTCTACATTTTCTTTTTCCATTTTCCGGCATGAATCTTCCCGTGATTGAACCCATTTGCATTAATCTGGAATCTGAGCAACTGTCAAATTGTTCTAGAAATAGATCCTCATCATTGGAATTTTTGTACCCATTATCCTTTAACTCTTTGAAGAAAAGGTGACTAGATATTGATTTTATCTGACCTACTTCTCCAAAAGTGGGGCAGAAAGGGTGTGGTGTCCAGCCACATGGACACAGGCTTCTAACACTGCCTTCATGTCACAGGAAACAAGACACAAGTTGGCCATACACCAGCAGCTCTCACCCTACAAATGCAACATGAAGAAGGGAGCCTGTAATATAGACCCCAGACAAAGTAAGAGTTAATCAGGCTATGATGGTAGAATCCAAGGATGCTTGCAGTCACATTTTTACAGATCATGTATATAAGACGTGAGAGAGGTATAGTGTATCCTTCTCCTTTCTGAATCTTTATTTGCATCAGCCATCGGCCATAGCAATAAAACAACAATACGATATACAAAGAATAAAAATAAAAAGTCAATTATATAAAATACATTTTAGGTTTTTGATTCCTTCTCCCTTATGTCGTAGCTGGTGACAAGGAATTTTTACATGGAGCATTCGAATAGATAATAAATGATGTACATAATTTTGTTGAAATATGGTATCCTTTTTATAAAATATTTTACTGATCATCCTGAAGAATGGCAACTACCGAAATCACAGTTTAGTCTTTGGCAAACTTAACTAGATTGATCTGTCCTGGAATGGGGATTTTGTTTTTGTATCCTTTTCTCGCTCTTTTTTGGTAAATGTTTTATATTGGAAACCAATAGAACTATGTTAGAAGAAAAGTAGATTTCAAATACATTACTTTCCAACTGAAGTCATCCAACCCAGAATTCTACCACCACAATGGCCCCCATGTGTCACATTCACCATTAGTTTTCACACATTGCAAGCTGTATGAGTGATGGATGCCGTTGTTTCCTTCTTCCATCCCATGGCATCTCCCTTTCATTTGCCTGGTGACTCTTTCATTGGATGACCATCTTGTATATGTTATTAAGGAAAATAGTGCTGTGCTGAACACCAAGGGAAGTTAATTCTGCTTATCAGCCAGCTCCGTTACCACTCCATAGTATTCACTGTTTCATTTCTGCATCCTCCAACCCTGAAGAGCAGGGGTGGGAAACTGAATATATAACCAGCAGGCCAGTTTCTTATATCCCCTACCACACACAGGCCAGATTTGACAGGTGGGCAGGGCCAGCTGGCTGTCAGTCACCTGATTCACAATGGCATCATGTGATGTGGCACTTTGAACACTGGTCAGATCAGCAACAAACTAACGTTTCATTGATCATTACTATTTATAACATGGTTTCAGATATGTTTCCATTGTCTTTTTTTTGTAACTGTTACCACTTTGAGATGTTTCAAAGGAAGTTGTGACATGCAGAATGACCACATATTCTCCCACTTTGGGAGCAGGCAAGATAGCAGGCTAATAGGCTGTAGATATATCCCTGGGGAGATTTTAAGTAATCCAAAGTTTTCTGTGCAGTAGGAACTGTTGACGTCTTTTCTTTTTTATGTCGCTGGCTTCGTTTCTGATCAGGTTATGGAACTCTGACCAAAGTTGAAATTAGTAACTTGGATACAAAAGTCTTATCATCTTAGCAGAAAAGTGTGTCACGAGAAAATAGATCACCAAATCCACAGAAGTGCCTTCATTTAAGCAAAGTCTTTTCCAGCACTCTAAACTACTTCATTCACCTACACTGAAGTGTATACACTATAAGCAGATTTTCATACTCAATATTTCTTATACTGTAGTGAAACTCCAGGAGAGAAACATTGTTTCACTGTAGATGAAACAAGATACCCATGTGCAAGGGAAAATATGAAAGAAGCTCAGCGAACGACTTGCAAATAATATTTTCACTACAAGGAGAAAAAGAAATGCAGGACAGCCTAATTTAATTCTTCCCTTGACAGTTATTAATGAACTCATACATACACAGAGACATAAGTATTGATGAGATAAGCTAATCTCAATAGAGATAAAATGAACTTGTGGGTCAAATTCATTTATAAGACTATCAGCAGTACACATTTGTCATTGATACATATCTAATAAAGTATGTAGAGACATCTCAATAACTTGACTCCAATAAAGTTTTACCTTTTACAGGCGGGCAATGATAGCCTAATGTCTTAACTTACTACACTTCTCATATTTGCAATTCAGGGTATCTAACTAGTTAAGTGCTGTACAGTTAGATGGTGTAATTAATAGAAATGCACAAACCCAAGACTTTTCAGGTTTTCATCATAAGGAAGCAAATTCACAAATCTCTAATTACATAATGCATTTTATACAAAGTCATGGCATCTCACTGCAGAACACACAATTTCTTTCTTTTCCCCAAATCATTTCTCCTTATTCCCACGCCCTTGTTAAGCCTTGTGTAGACATGGTCAATGAATGCAAGAATAAAAGAAGATACCCACCGAATCAGATCAAAGTCCCATCCAGTTCAACATCCTTTTCTCAGAGTTGGTCAGGCAGATGTTGTATGTATGGAAAGTCCGCAAGTGGGACATGAGCACAACGGTACTCTTCTCCACTTACAGCAGGGTGAGTCCTTGCCACAGAGCTGGCCTTCTGGAAGCAGTGTCACTGAGACTAATCTGGATGATTTGGTGGGTGGGGCAGAGAAAAGTCAGAATGGTGCAAACACACCTGCAAAAGTAATCTGGTGCTCCCACATGTCAAGGGCTTCTGACATTGCCTTCTGGCATGCCTGCCATTGCAGGATCTCACTCTCATCCTGATCAACCAGCTACTCCTAACCACTTGTATTCCTCAGCAACTGATATACAGGGGGATACTGTCTCCAACAATGGAGATGGAACACTGTCATCATGACTAGTATCCTCTGGTAGCCTTATTATCCATGAGACTTGTTCTTCTATCATTCTGCTTGGTAATTCTGTCTACCAATTTTCCAGGAGCGAACACTAAGCTAAGCAGCCTGTAATTTCCCAGATCCCTCTGGATCCCTTTTTCAAAAACTGTGTTAATTGGTCACTTCCCAGTGCCCAGGTATGGAGGCAGATCCTAGGAATAAGTTGCATATCTTTGTAAGGAGATCTCCAATGTCAAATTTAGTTTTTTTGTGAAGAACCTTTGGGTGGTTGCCATCTGGAGTGGGTGATTTATTCATTTTTAATTTGTCGCCAGTGCTGATTATAGCAGCAGAACAGGAGAAATATATAATTTTAGCAAGAATATTCTTTACAGCACTTTTTTTAAAATCCACCTTCTAACCTTCCTCTTCTTGGCTGTTAACTATAAAATAAATCAATAATGGAAATCCTTACAAGCAAACACCAGCTTTTAAGGCCTATTCATACATTTTTTAAATGATTTGGATAAAGATTGGATGCACGGAAGAGAAAGGGTCATAGCATTGGTCTTTGGGGCCTAGTGCTATTAATGAGTTTGCAGACAGTACTGCAAATAATCTCAGGTCTACAAAACCATTAATGCTCTGCAAACATTGCAAGGTTATTATTTTTTCATGAATGAAAGCTGCATTCATGAGTAATGAAATTTGTACAGGCTTCTCACTGAATTATGTGCAAGCACATTAAAGCATGAACTTAAAGTTTAGTTAAATGTGAAAGAAACAGCTGACATTTTCTATTAGAAATTGATACCTGGATAACTGGCCTGTCAGACTAGTATACAGTCTCATTCAAGTGCAGTGATTTGGAGACTGAAATGGTATTGAAATGGCTGCCAGCCAATTTTATTCTGAGTAAAATACAACAGAAAATATAATACACAGCCCCGAAATTCTGCAGGGAAAATCTTATATCAGACTTCCCCAACTTGGTGCCCTCCAGAAATTTTGGACTACAACTCCTATCATTCCTGGCCATTGGCTGCACTGGCTGAAGCTGGCTAGGG